TCATCCGTGCAATATAATCCGTAACCAGGAATTTTCCTTATTCGAGTCATTTTCGAACTCCACTCATCACTGATTCCCAAGTATACTTTAGACCCAAACAAAATTTGACACATACCCATGAATTGATTTGTCTATAGCAGGCTGCCCCACTTGGCTCAAAGCCATAGATTAGAACATTCCATAACTCACAATACCAATACTCTATTACTGTCATAATGCCACAGTCAGTTCAACAAAGCTTCTTCTCAAACTCATGCAACGCCAACCATAAAAATACCTCAATTATCCGCTAAGCTCGCATTCATCCTCTTAACACACAAGTCAACTTTCTCAACCAAATTCGAATTCAAATCTCCACACATATGCCCCACTGGCAGAAAAGAAACCCTTCACCCATATTACAAGGGACACACCTACATAGATTACTCTCCAGGAGATAACCCACCTCTCTAGCCTCAAATTGGCATCTTATTATATCTTTTCGCAGCCACAATTTCTACGCAATCACTAAATCTTTCTAAATCCAAACTCGTTAAGCAGACCTGAGATTTTAATTTGTCCCACAATTTAAACACGTGAAAGATCTTTCAAAACATTCACACTCGAGACTGTACGTCACATCAAATCAAAAATCAAGCATCCAATAGCCTTCCTTTTACATATGAAGGAAACACTTCTCGTTATGTTCAAATCGTCTTAACACATCCCGCGGTCACATCATACCTATCATACCGCCATTTCACCGCTCATCGAGCCATAAATTTCACTATAGGGTCATCACCGGACATATGAGTCCAATTGTACAAGTTACAACTGAAGCTACCGAGCTTAAGCTGCGGTCTAAACCTGGCCTCAAGTCCTCCAGACTGGCCATCACCAAAACATAGAATACTCATCTCGAACTTCATTTATGGAATCATAAGTCGGCGATGCACAGCTGATACCGAGCGCTCATGTGCGCACATACGAAAGCGTGGAAGGAATTCAAAGAATTATATTTCAAGCTGAATCAATTCCGCACGATAAAGAAAAAAAGATGGGAAGTATATATCCTAAATGCCTTATAGCCTCTCGAAGATAAGTATGGACGTCATCATACCGATCCGCAAAACTCTACTAGATACTTGCTCATGACTTATAGAACCTATAAACCTAGAGCTCTGATACCACTCTGTCACGACCTAAAATCTAACTAGTCATGATGGCACCTAACCCAACCCGCTAGGTAAGCCAACTTTCAATTATCCAATTACAATAGCAATTATTTAAAAGAGAATAACTAAAACCAATACATTTCCCCAAGAACTGGTAGTACAAATCGAGAGCTTCTAAGAATAGAGTATACAAAGCGGAAATGAAATAAATACATAGTCTGTTTGAATTAGTACAGAAACAGAGCTTTTATAAATCTAAGGTCACCATGAACAAAAGGTAGCTACAACAGGAATGCAGGTACATCTACAAATCGCGCAACCATCGAGCACAGCTGCAACAACAGCCAACATCTGCACACAATGTGCAGAAATGTAATATCAGTACAACCAACCCCATGTACTGAGTAAGTAACAAACCTAGCCGTAGGATGAAAGTAGTGACGAGCTTCTACCAAGGTCGGAGTCCAACTTCCATAACCAATAATAGTTCATAACAATATTAAATAAGTAATACCAGAAGTAACTCAAAGAATAAATGCTCAGCTAAATCACGACTTCTGAAAATAGTTCTGCCTTTCAAGTACATCAATGAAAACCCAAATCATTTACCAAAATTACCAAAAATATGAATAAGTTTGAAAACAGTAATTTTTCCAAAATCCTTTCAATAATAAATAAAATATCTCATTTTCTTCCCAGATAACCAGTGTAAAACAAATGCATCACTATGCCCATCTATCAACATGTGTGAGAAATCATGAATAATGTGATACCGTACAACATGAGAAAAACACATCTCTATGCATATATATCATGTATGCATGTCAATGCAATGTATTTCAGAGATTGCACTCATGTACTCACACTCTCTCAGAGTACTCACTCTCATTGTCTCGCATTCTCTCTCACTGTGCTCAGCACACTCAATCACTCAGCGCACTATAATACCTGCTGCGGCGTGCAGCCCGATTCCTGTTTATAGTCGACTGCACTCACTAGGGGTATGTACAGACTCATGAGGGGCTCATACAGCCCAAGCGCTATAAGTACGGACAACTCACGTGCTGCACGGACAACTCACGTGCCATAATATAAATATCTGGATCCGCACGGCCAACTCACGTACTGCACGGCCAACTCACGTGCAATAATAATATAAGGATCCACACGGCCAACTCACGTGCAATAATAATATAAGGATCTGCATGGCCAACTCACGTGTTGCACGGCCAACTCACTTGCAATAATAATATAAGGATCCGCACGGCCAACTTACATGCAATAATAAGCCAATAAGGCCTGCTGCAGGCAGCAGCCCCAATCCATATAATAGTAATAATATATATAAAGCCAATATGGCCTGCTGCGGCGTGCATCCCGATCCCAAAAATATCCTCATAATCAGGCCCTTGGCCTCCCTCAGTCATCAATTTCTCCAGTCTCTCTCTCATGGGCTCACAATGTCATGAGAATAGCCCAAAAATGATGATATGATGTATCAATAAATAACAATAGAGTGTGAGATATGATATGCAATGAAATGAATATGACTGAGTATGAAATTTCAATATAACCAATAATTCACAGCAATATGACCTTTGTGGGTCCCAATAATACTGGCACATAGCCTCAACATGATTTTTAATATGCTTTTCAGCTCAATTTCTTTAACTCATAAAACCGCATGGAAAATGCCAAGATTATTTAACTATAAAATTTCACAGAAATAATTATGTCACAATTTCTATAGTGCACGCCCACACGCCCATCACCTAGCATGTGCGTCACCTCCCAACAATTCATAAAATACATATATTTAGGGTTCATACCCTCAACTCAAAGATTAGAAGAGTTACTTACCTCGAACAAGCCGAATCCAATGTCGAGCAAGTTAAACAATGCTTCAGAAATTCCATTCTGCACATATCAACCTTCGAACGGCTCGAATCTAGTCACAATTAATTTGATTCAGTCCACACAATTTATAGGAATTAATTCCCTATCAAAATGCTAATATTTTTCACAAAATCCAAAATTACGCCCCCAAAATCATCCGTGGTGCCCACGTCTCGAAATCCGACGAAACTCACAAAATACTGTAACCCATCCAATTACAAGTTCAACAGAACTAATTTCACTCAAATCCGACTCCAAATCGGTATTCAAACTTGAAAAATTCGTTTTGTGACAATATAGAAATTTCCTTCTATTTCTCTTGAAGATTCAATAATCTTACACCAAAAATGAAGATTAATTCATAGAATATAATCATAAGGGAGTTAAGAACACTTACCCCAAGTTGTGTGAAAAATTTCCTCTCCAAAATCGCCCAAACCGAGCTCCAAAATGTCCAAAATGAGAAAAAATCTCGGAACCCTCGTTTTAAACACTGCCCAGGCATTTTCGCACTTGCGGTGCTTAGGCTTGCACCTGCGCATCCGCATTTGCGGAACAAATTGCGCGCCTGCGGACCATGCCAATATTTCAAAACCTCGCATCTGCGGCGCCCTTCTCGCATCTGCGGGCTCGCAGATGCGCAAACCCTTCGCACCTGCGTTCGCCCCAAGCCAGTCCCAGTCCGCATCTGCGCCAATACCTTCGCACCTGCGGCTTCGCAGATGCGGCAAATTCCTCGCACCTGCGAGCACTGCCCATTCCCACTCTTGGCCGCTTCTGCGGCTTTTTTCACACACATGCGGCTTCGCACCTGCGATCAAACTCTTTACAGGTGCGATCACTCCAGTAGTAAGTCCAAAATTCAATCCGTTAACCATCTCAAACTCACCCGAGGTCCCTGGGACCTCAACTAACTATATAAACAAGTCCCATAACATAACACGGACCTACTCGAGACCTCAAATCATACCTAACAACCTCAAAATACGAACTACACACAGATTCAAGCCTAATAAATTTTTAAATTTTCAAATTCTACAAACGACGCCGAAACCTATTAAATCATGTGTGATTGACCTCAAATTTTGCACACAAGTCACATTTCACATTACGGACCTATTCAAATTTTCAGAATCATATTTCAACCTCGATATCAAAAGTCAACCCCCGGTCAAACTTCCCAAAAATTATCTTTCGGCATTTCAAGCCTAATCCTACTACGGACCTCCAAATAATTTTTCGGACACGCTCCTAAGTCCAAAATTACCATACAGAGCTATTGGAATCATCAGAATTAAATTCCGATGTCATTTACACATAAGTCAACATCCGGTCACTATTTTAACTTAAGCTTTAAACCTTGGAACTAAGTATTCCAATTCATTCCAAAACCTCACCGAACCCGAACCAATTGCCCCGGCAATTCACACAACAACTGTAAAGTATAATTTGAGCAGTAAATGGGGAAACAGGGTTGTAATACTCAAAACGACTGGCCGGATCGTTACACATCAATACTATATAATCCTCGTCTTTGATGGACCTTATTTGGTCCAAATCCCGGGCCTTCCTCTCTCTCACCTTGGCCAGCCGGAATAACTTCTTCTCCCCGCCTTTGTCCCCCAGTTCCTCTTAGAGACGACCAAAAGTTACAGTCTTAGCCTCCTTCCTACCTTATACCTCTCCCTGCTCGCTCTTCTCTTCTCCTCATTTGTGCTCCCTACTAACTTTAGGTATGTCGCCTTCTACGCTTCCACTTTACCTTGGACCACTTCATTCCACCACCAGTCACCTTTGTGTCTGCTAGAGTAGCCCGTCGAGACCCCTAACACTTCTCTTGCAGCCTCCCTTATACAGTCTGTCGTCTTCGCCCACATAACGCTCGCGTCCCCTCTACTACTCCAGGCTCCCATTGCCGCTAACCTCCCTTCCAACTCCTGAGTTTTATCCTTAGTCAAGGCTCCCCACATGATCCTCGATTGTCCACATAATACCAGTGTCTATCACTAAGAGCCTATGCTGCGTCGCGAGGATTTCACCCGAGATAACCTTGCAATCCTTACACAGCCCTCTGTCACATCTCCTGAGGAGGAGATAGTCAATATGAGTCTTCGCCACCGCACTTTGGAAAGTAACCAAGTACTCCTCCCTCTTCGGAAAACTTAAGTTTGCAATCACCAACTCAAAAGCCTTAACGAAATCCAACAGTGAAGTACCTCCTCCGTTCATATCCCCAAAACTGAAGCCTTCATGCACCTCGCTATAGCCACTTGTAGACGACCCAATATGTCCATTGGAATCCCCTTCTATAAATAACCTCTCAGCAGGCAGAACATTACGCACAATCTCATACAACCCCTCCCAGAAGTGCCTTTTAACCTCCTCATTCATGCCCGCATGTGTCGCGTAAGCGCTAACGATATTTAGGGTGCACTCTCCAACTACAAACTTAATAGTCATTAATCTATCATTTACTCACCTAACCTCTACCACAGACTCTCTAAGTTCCCTATCCACCAGAATACCTACTCCATTCTTACCCTTCCGAACTACAGATTACCAAAGCTTATACCAGTCTGCATCCCCCACCTTCGATCCTACCCACATTGTCTCCTGGACACACGCTATATTGACCTTCCTCTTATGGAGCATCTTTTCCAACTCTATAGACTTACCAGTTAATGTTCCTATATTCCATGACCCAATTCTCAACCTCTGGGCTCTATTGTTCCCCTTACCTCCCTTGTCTCCTGCTCCACCTCTATCCTCTGGCCCACCCCTTGCCCCCCGAGGATATGACCTTACGTCCGCCTTGACGACCAAGGATTTACTTCCACAGTGGCGAATGTTCAACATCATACCCAGATAAAAGTTGGGCATGAATAGATGTGTGATATGCCACAGAGTGATATCTACGTTGGCCAACTCGGTGAACTTGGACAACATTTTTATTACTTTGTACACCAAGGGTGCAAGTTGCGCCAGGCAGACCCGATAATGGTGGAAGAATTCCTCCACCAAAGGGGGAAGAGGAAATGAAAAGCCGACGGTGAATGGGTAGGCATACAGGGCATAATATCCTGGCCGATGAATATACACCTCGCCATCGTCCGCATGTACGAGCTCCACTTGATTAGGAACATCATATTTGGCCTTAAACTCCGCCAAATGCTTGGCCGTTAAAGAAGATCGGAAAACCTTAGCCATCACCTCCGGATACCGTCGTAGGTCCGATTTTACATTAGGACACAGAAGGAAGGGCCTCTACTTCAATGGTGGTGGTGGCATCTCCCCCGCGGACAGGGGCCGCAACAACCAATGGAGTGACCATAATCTTCTCATTCACATTAGAAAAACCTCCATCATGAATGCCAGAAGGTGAGCTAGACATGTTTGTAGAGGTATGTAGTTTAGGGAAGGAAAGAGTTGCGAAAATGGGAGGAAGCTTTCGAGAATGGTGGGCAAGGAAGGAAAATTCAGAGAAAGTGAAGAAAATTCTTGCGGCGAAAGTAAAGGAAAGATTCAAATAACAGTGATCATCCCTTTTTTAAAAGGAAGAACCTTGGGATTCGAAGCGACTCGTCATAATGGCAGCCACAGTCGAAACGGGCGCATTGGGAACAGACGTCATTATGATGAATGACGTCGCATCTCATCCATGTCAGGTAATCTTCAAAGGGCACATGAGAAAATTAAGATGACAAGAGTTCGAAATATGCACTCTCGTAACGCCACATCATCCGCCTCTGACGACAACCATGACTGTTATTATCCACTTATCAAGCTCGTCCCTGAGGATGACCTCGACAAGCGGAAGGACTAACTGTATGGGCGAAAACTTCATTTTATGTGTTTGATCCGGTCAATGGCAATAGAGCCCCTGAAGGTTGTGACATGTCAACCTGACTCCAAAAGGTCGAGGTTAGATGTAGAGGATGAATCATTGTCGAATGTCAAAATGGTTTAACAGAAGACGAGGACGAGGACGAGCATCCGCCTTCGGTACGAAGTGACGACCAGTTTTAGGATTTAGATTCCCTAGAGAATATTCTAATGGATATTCCTTTATGTTGCACTCTCTAAGGTTTAGTGACACATGTGCTCTTACAAATAGGAAGAGATGTAAATTAGAAAGGGAATTGGACATTTTATGAAGAATTTCATCAACATTCTCTGTACAGGATTCCCACTTTATTGAATAGAAATAAAGTTTAACTTTACACTTCCTTTTTTTTTATCTCTCCCCAATCCAAGAAGGATTGGAATATATGCTCATCATCATCCATCATTGTCAGAAAGACATCCAAAAATCTCATCTTTGTCGGGTTGTCTTTATCTCATTTACTACTCGAAAGTCATTTATTACTATTTATTGCTCTTCTTAACATTTTCTGTTCATTACAGCTCCATTATGGTCTCACGATTATTTTCTATAATAGTATATAGTAAATACGGGCCTCAAAGTGCTAGGTTTGTCATTGAATATTAATATTGACTATGATTAATCATATTTTTCAACTAATCTAATTGTATAAAACCAAGATATATTTTTTAGGTCATACAATTCTGATAGGCATGTATTTAGTCACCTACACTTTCTTTTTGACAAACTCACTTTGTCACAATAATAAAAAAATTCGAAGAGTTTGTGAGACAACAGTTAGACTATCCTATCACCAATTTATATTGGAAGATAAAAAAATATGTTGTACTTTTGGTTCTAAAATATTATTTTGCTTTGGGTCTCTTAGTCATTTGGGTGAAGAAATTATTGAATTATGACCTGTTTCTAAAATATGACCCATTTCCTACTAATTTGAGATATTTTTGTAGAAGTTAAGTTACTTCTATGTTTAGAAAATTTTACTTTGGTGTTGAATATGGAAGATACCAAAAGAAAATAGATACTTATATGTGTTGAAAGATGTTTCAATGGGTGTATGTAAGTCAAGTTTTTTTTCATTGGAGATTATTTTATGTCTTACTTCAGAAGTACTATGAATCAGTATTTTGAATGTTTCAAGTGGTATTCATGAAACATCTAGTGGCAGGTTGAAATCATCATCAAAAGAAGATGGACACAAAGCCAAGTTGCCAAAGACATCAAGGGCACAAACCGACCACCACTTTTAAAACTCGCAATTTTTCTTTGTTTGCAGCAGGAACAAAGCAGTACATAATGGCGATTCCTAAAGGGCGAATGTCACCAAAGGTGAGTTTTGCAAAATCTCTATTTTCTTTTATTTTCAGCATGCATCACTATTATAGATTATTTTCGTAGCTTAACCCAGGTAGAACATATTCGCTTAGGGAGATCCAAATCATATTTTCGGGTAGAAGTACTCTTTGCCCAGGTTTATTTTTCGTAGCTTAACCCAGGTAGAACCTTTTCGCCTAGGGGGATCCAGCCCATAATTTCGGGTAAAAGTACTCTTCGCCCAAGCTATTTTTCGTAGCTTAACTCAGGTAGAACCTTTTCGCCTATGGGAATCCAGCTCATAGTTCCGGGTAGAAGTATTCTTTGCCCAGGCTATTTTTCGTAGCTTAACCCAGGTAGAACCTTTTCGCCTAGGGGGATCCAGCCCATAGTTTCTGGTAAAAGTACTCTTCGCCCAGGCTGTTTTTCAAAGCTTAACCCAGGTAGAACCTTTTCGCCTAGGGGGATCCAGCTAATTGTTTCGGGTAGAAGTACTCTTCGCCCATGCTATTTTTCGTAGCTTAACCCAGGTTGAACCTTTTCGCCTAGGGGGAACTAGTTCATAGTTTCAGGTAAAAGTACTCTTTGCCCAGGCTGTTTTTCGTAGCTTAACCCAGGTAGAACCTTTTCGCCTAGGGGAATCCAACTCATAGTTCCGGGTAGAAGTACTCTTAGCCCAGGCTGTTTTTCATAGCTTAACCGAGGTAGAACCTTTTGCCTAGAGGGATCCAGCTCATAGTTCCGGGTAGAAGTACTCTCCGCCTAGGCTATTTTTCGTAGCTTAACCCAGGTAGAACCGTTTCGCCTAGGAGATCCAGCTCATAGTTCCGGGTAGAAGTACTCTTCGCTCAGGATGTGTTACATAGCTTAACCCAGGTAGAACCTTTTTGCCTAGGGAGATCCAGCTCATATTCCGGGTAGAAGTACTATTCGCTCAGGTTGCTTTACGTAGCTTAACCCAGGTAGAAACTTTTCGCATAGGGGGATCCAGCTCATATTCCGGGTAGAAGTACTCTTCACCCAATCTTGCTTTTCACATTTTAACCTAGGTATAACCTTTTCTCCTTGGGAATTCATTTTCATTTCAGTAATACAGGGCACAACCCCTGGTTATATTTCTTTTCCATAATACAGGGTGTCATCCCCTGGTTACATTTTCTTTCAGTAATACAGGGCACAACCCCTGGTTATATTTCTTTTCCATAATACAGGGTGTCATCCCCTGGTTACATTTTCTTTCAGTAATACAGGACGCCATCCCATGACTACATTCTTTTCAGTAATACAGGACGCCATCCCATGACTACATTCTTTTCAGTAATACAGGGTACCAACTCTTGATTACATTCTTTTTCCATAATACAGGGTACAAATCCCTAGTTACATTTCCTTACCAGTATCAGGGTACACCAATCCCTATTCGTTTTTCCAATATAGGATCTCCACTCCCTAGTTTCTTTTATTTTAGACATAGGGTCTCCATTCCCTAGTCTCTATTTTTTTTCGGGGTACACCATTCCCGATCTTTTATTGCTTTCAATAAAGAAGTAGTTTAGAATTTTGTTACAATAACTCACGAAATTTTCCTAGTGCAAACTGGGGCAGAAAATATTTGCTCGTTTATTTGTTGGGGGTGTCTGAGTAGGTTTTACCTCGAGGCACAGGGTTCGAGATGAAAAAGAAGAAGTCTCAATTCAGAATAAATGAAAAGAAAAAATAAATGAATCTAAAATGCAAAAGTAGTTGAAAAGATGTGGAATGCTCAAGACATGACTGAAGCCACGAGCACCGAATTCTCGTTTTGATTAGAAAAAGCTATAGAACAATGAACTAGGACCTACAGCTAGCGAGCATCAATGTTTAGATCAGAGTCTGCATAAAGAACCAGTTAAGACTCAAGATCAAGTTTCAGAAGACTTATAGATAGGAATCTTGTAACTCATAGCTGATAGGCTTGTTTAGTTTCTTTTTTATAAAAGCAGGACTGCGGACCGGAGCCTCGACGAAACCTCACTCGACTCCTCAAATCATCATTCCACCATTCTCCTTGAACTACACATGACCTGATTCCCCTATAACCCGGGATATGTAGGCTGTCCAAAACCAGGACTCGGTTACACCCTATCTTTTATTTTTTTTTCTTTTGAATAACGGTTTGGTCAAAAATTAGTCACATGACTAAACTAGTCTTTGCCTGAAAACTTTTCATGTTTCCAAGCAAAGAGGGGCAGCTGTGAGCACCTAATCTTTTACTATATTTGAA